ATCGCCGGGGCCAGGCGGGCGCCGAAAAATACGCGTTGCGGACATTTCGCATTCCGCTCGCAGATTCCAAGAAAATGTTCAGCGAGTTTTTGAGAGACCGCCTGTTGAATCTTTTTTTCACTCTTATCTTTTGCACATACATTGCTGAATGTCTGAAGAATCGAGAACTCAGCAAGCAGCGTTCCGAAAAGTCCTGATTGCTTTCCGAAAAATCCGCGAGCAGGGCGCGAGACATCAGTCATCTATTTTTCCGATGCCTGCCTGCCCCCGGCGATTGTCTTAGTAGTGACACAAAGGGCAGCCGCATTCAACATCTGCGCGGGGATGGTAGAAAAGGTTAACTCGCCTTCTACGTTGCATATTTTCGTTTGTAGCACTTGAAATTAGAATTGGGGCTGGTCAGGATGAACGAAAGAACGTCAGTTAATTTATCTATTTATATTTTAATCATGTCGGAAAGATGTGAGAGGATATTGCTAGCAAAGCTACAGATGCTATCTTCATAACCAAAGGTGAATGTCTGTTTGTCTGTCTGCACATATGTCTGTCCGTCTCTATTCTGTCCGTGTGTGTACGTGTACGTATGTCCGAATAGGAAATCCCATTACTGCACCGTTCCGAACCAAACTTTGAGCACATACGCTTCAAGGCGGGGAGACGGCGAGGTGTTGTGGACTGCTTTTCGTCATTAATCGATATCGATTTCATCAATTCTTTGCAAACTCACCTACGAGGCTGGGCGTAGGCACGGGGGGGGGGGTGGGGGTGAGCATGCGGATTACGAAATCATTAGTGATAGGGCCCGGTGGAGCCGTGTTTGCCAGCAAATTGCTTCTATAGCGCTTAATGTTGAATGGACAGCTGCAGTAACGATCGAGAATTTTGTAGTAAGAAAAAGCAAGAACGATGTTTCTATCAGACAATTACATGACGTAAAGATGCAGATTTACTTTCTATATATTTCAGTTAATTCGCTAAGAAAATGTTAGTGTGTGAAGGGAATATAGGATAGTTATGAGAAATAAAAGATATTTGTTAGCGTTGAGTAGGTTTGTGTCGTTGCGATTATTGTTTTATTGTAGATCATGTTGTACCTTGTACCCGCGCGGCAAAAGGCTAGTTGTTTTTGTTCTTATTGTTATTGTTCTGTTCCGGCCTTGATAAAGTTTTTTTCCTATATTTTTCTGCTACACGCCAGACGCCCACCGCATCAGCAGCTTCAGCTGATGCGCTACATGGGGGCCGAACCGAAAACCCTTAGGCCGCCCTTAAGACCGCTTAGCAGCGGAAAGGCGAGTAGCCTGCCATGGTGGCAGTGTATGTCTCTTCGTGTAAAAAGCACAAAGCCGATCCGCGCTGGGACCGAAGGCAAAACCAAAGCTTCTAGGAGAGGTGCTGCGCGTTTTTTTTTTGAAGCCCTTGGTATAAGGGACATACATTGCCACCTATCCCAATCCATCGTCACATTTTCGCGTCAATACGCGGGAAAGGAGAAAATAAAAGAAAATAAATAAGGAAGTGATCCTGGTTCTTGCAGAAAAGTGGGCGCGATGTCAGAAAGCCCGATGGAAGCAATCAACTCAGACAACATGAGCCTGGAAGAAGTCCCTACGGATCAATTGCTGACCATGCAGAAAACCTTGGAGAAGCTGGTCGCAAGTATCGACGATATCTCAAAGAAAGGGTCAATAAAGGTGAAACTGTCAACGACAGCAATAAAAGAGAGGGTCGAAGCGCTGCGGGCAGTGCATTCGGCGCTAAGGGAGCACAATGAACATACAAGAGCGCAGAGTAGGAACGCGGAAAACCTTGAAGCGCTTGCCAGCAGCTGCATTGAAGGTGAGTGTGAGCAGGTGTGCAGCGAGATACAGGCATTGGAGGAAGTGGGAGAGTTACTGGTCAAGCAACGGGGGTTAACAGGTCAAGCTTTGCAACTTTTGACAAAGTGCGACCAAGGAATCAGGGATATTGAAGGGCAAGCAGAGTCAACAAACAGTAAACGCTATCGTATCAAGACAACAAAGCAGAAAAATATTAATATTCAGGTACCTGCAGATGCACCCTCGCCGTCCAGAGTGCAAGAGCAGGACGAAGACATTGTGGACGACCAGACATATGCAATATTCGATCCTATCGCTGCCGCACAAGGCAGGTTAGGCGAAATGATAGAAGGACAAGATCACAATGGTCTCCAATTTCAGCCCGCCGAGAAGAGCTTGCAGAAAACGAGGGCAATGGAATAGCCTGCTGGGAGAAACCAGTCGCAAGGTATGTTCGGCATATATAATCCTACAAATATGGCACAAATGTTAGCGGCAATGACCCTCCCGGAGGTAGAGACCTACAGGGATTCCCAGGGTATGGGGCTGGAAGAATTTGTGCTAAAGTTCAAGATGAAGTACTCCGGGCTAGGATTGCGAGAGGACATGTTAGTCCACCTATTCCTTTCAAAATTGGGAGGGTACCCAAAGGCTGCAGCAGAAGCGCTACCTAAAAGGGTAGATGGTACCCTGGAGGGGATCATAGAAGCTTTGCGAAGCCAGTTTCAAGTCCATGACGCTGCCACTCAAATGACGGCCTACATGCAGCTCAAGCACCTGAAGATGAACAAGGATGTTACATCATATTGTCTTGAGCTGGAAAGGCTGACGCATAGGGCATACCCGGATGCATCAGAAGCAGAACTCTCAAGGACAAGAGCCGGGGAGTTAGTGTCTCAACTAACCAAATGGCTAGAGTACCTGCAACTCTTCACCGCCATGGAAACCGCGCCGAGGGAATGTGCGTATGAGCTGGTGAAGACAATGGCCCAAAGATGTGAACGCAGCAAAGAAGTAGCTAATGCGATGCGACCACAGAGCAGGTAACAGCAGCGACTAGCGGTAAGAAGCTACCTGTACGAAAATACGAAGAGAGAAGGTACGTAGGACAAAAAACACACCTGCGACGATTGAAAAGCGAAAACCATGCTGTTTCAAGTGCAAGGAAGTGGGGCACTACAGTCGGGAGTGCAACAAGCCACGAACCACCGAAGCAACGCGGGATGGACCGCCTACGGACGCACCAAAAATTTTCTCAGCTTCTCTGAACAAATGGATCTGCAGTGCTCTCTCAACGGCACCAGCCGTACGCGAGCTTGTAGGAGGGCAGGTGATCACGAATGTTCATCTGCTAGGCTTGCCGCGGAGGGCGCTTATAGACACGGGTTCCCAAGTGAGCATCCTCCTTACAGATGCTTGTGGCAAGCCGTGATAGCGGATTTGATTTAGATGGCAATGTCGAGGAGATAGAGGTAGATCACCTGGCGCCGGTTTACGATGCGTCAGGTAATAGAATGAAGTTCAAGGGGGCAGTTAGGCTCGCTATCGAGCTAGAAGACGGTGCGAAGCAGAAAATAGCACTGTTCGTGATGGCGGGAGCGGATGGCGTGATCGTCCTAGGTACAAATGCATTAAAAAGCTGGGATTCTCCGTGGCCAACACGAGAGGCGGTGTTGAAGACGAGGAGACGGAGACAGATGTACTCAAGACGGCAGAATCGCTGAAAAGGAGTACGAGAAAACAGCAACGGGACATTGTCACTACCACGGAACGAGTATATGTGGGACCAGGTGAAACAAAGATGTTGCCTGTCAGCCGCAAAGGCAGCCCAAAGAGAGAATTTGCTGGTCAAAGTGTGGAATGGTTCCTGATATGGTTTGGGGCAATGACAGCAACTCCATGAGCGTTCCATTGACTAATGGCTTGTCAGGAGCCAAGCTCTTCCGAGAGGGGAAAGAGATAGGAACTTTTGAACCGCTGGATTTAGTGGAGGAGCAACCTGTCACTTATCATGGTAACATGCTGGAGAGGACAAATTCTCGAATACAGGATAGAGAAGAGCGCCTTGTGAAGCTTTTGAAGAAGGGCAAGGCGAGCGGCAACCTTGAGGAAAACATCCGGAATTTGGTGATACGCCAAGCGAAGGGATTCGCGATCACCGATCACGATTTGTCGCAGACAAACCTGGTAGAGCACGATAATGAGACAAGAGATGCATTGCCAGTAAAGCAGAAGCCAAGGCCAGTACCCTTGGCAACTCGAGTGGAGCTCAGGCGCATTTTGAATGTTCTGCAGACACGAAAGGTAATCGAGCCGAGCAGATCAAGCTGGGCCTCGTCTATCGTGTTGGTGCGAAAGAAAGATGGATTGTTAAGGTTATGTGTGGACTATCGAAAAGTGAACAAAGTCACCAGAAGAGACAGTTACCCACTACCTTCCATCGATTCGATTCTACAGAGCCTGGAAGGAAAAGCGTTTTTTCAACTCTCGATTTGGCTTCAGGATACTGGCAGATAAGCTTATCGGAAGATGCAAAACAAAAATCTGCTTTTGTTACCACCGAAGTTTTCCAGTTTCGCGTACTGCCGTTCGGGCTATCAGCTTCTCCACCTGTGTTTCAGCGACTGATGCACAACGTACTGGGTACGTTGTTAGAAGGCAGATTTACTTTCTACATATTTCAGTTAATTCGCTAAGAAAATGTTAGTGTGTGAAGGAAATATAGGATAGTTACGAGAAATAAAAGATATTGTTAACGTTGAGTAGGTTTGTGTCGTTGCGATTATTGTTTTATTGTAGATCATGTTGTACCTTGTACCCGCGCGGCTATAAAAGGCCGCCGGCTAGTTGTTTTTGTTCTTATTGTTATTGTTCTGTTCCGGCCTTGTCCGAATAAAGTTCTTTTCCTATTTTTTCTGCTAACGCCAAACGCCCTCCGCATCAGCAGCCCCAGCTGATGCGCTACAAGTCATTTTCGCTTGGCTACGATTTTTAGATGGAAAGGTCATCCGCATTTCAGCAGATTATCAAGCGACAGTGTTCCACTAACAACACTCAATATTGACCGCCAATTCATAGAGGGGATGGGGCAGATTGAATGTTAGAGCTTCTATCTCAAATACAAACCAACTTCATATGAAGTACAAAAAATCAAAGATGCAAAAGGCAAAATCAACTCACCCTCTTGAAGCTCGAGCAGACATTGATCCAGAATAGTAATTTGTACGGCTACCTGGAATTCAACAATTGGCGATAGCACGATTTGTGTTGATGTGAGTTAGTTAGTCTTTCACTATTCTCCACACCAATCCAAACAAAATACTCGAAAGTTACCGTCTCCGAGGAATGAACTTCTTGCTGCGGAAATACCCCGAAAACCTCGTCGCGGTAGCGATGGACTTATCAATAGCTGCACTAATAATAAGTATAATAATGAGCGCTTCCACATCTAAATTGGAACTTCACGTTACGAAATGTAGACACGGTACCTGCACTAGCTAACGAACGTTCATCAAAACCTCACGTAAAGAAATTTTCAAATAAAAGTGCAAAATTCGTTTTTCTCCCCAATTGACAGCGTATTTGTTTACGCTTGTTTGTTGGTGCTTTAAACGAATTCAATATTCTGCACGATTGGCACAGCACGTCTATTGTTCGCCCTATATCACTGCACTGATGATGAAAAATTAGAAGCTCATGGATTTGTATAGTAATAAAAACCGGGTATGATCAATTTAGCCAATGTAAATTCATAGTTCATTCTCAGAATTTAATCTCAAAAAGTCGAATTGTTGCCCGCGTGTGCTTGCGTTCAACTAATTCAGATTTCAAAAATTATGGCGATAAAACCCAAAAAGGGAAGAAAGGGGCTTCCAACCTTTGCGAGAGCAGCCGGATGGGGAAGGGGGATGACTAAAGTGGCAACTCTATTTACAATATTGACAACAAAGAATGACTGGCACTAAAAGGCTTATGCAAATTCTTTAGTAGATGGACAGCTGCCTGCATTCACGTCATGAAACGGTGGTAACTCTACATTCCATTGCTAGGGTAAGACTTAACATGAAAAATTTTGTGAGGAAAAATTGTTTTGTCGCATCTTAAAAAGGTACAGGTGTTAATTGATTACCACAAAAAAACATCGAGCGTTCCTATCTAGGTTAGATTTAATTCAATTTGAAGTTTCGTGAGGGATATGTTTATTGGTTTGCTGCTATAGCTTCAGCAATCTTCAAAATTGCTTGTTATAAACATGTGCAAGTGATTTGTTTATACTTGTAAGTAATTAAAATAATTTTTCATCTTTTCAAAAATTCAATGCAACCTTATAAAAATTTTGAGGCGCTAGCGCCACTACAGAAATTTTAGGAAGCGTACCAAAAAATTTTTCGGTGTGCGTGGCTAACGCCACGCACTTCATTAAAAAAAATAATTTTTGTCGCCCCCATTTGATTCTCTGCCCTAACTGTTCTGTAACAACATCGCTTTTATGCTTGATGTCAGTCTAATGAAGTCAGCTGATGTAAGACAAGCATTGACAAGTTTGATACTAAACATATACTATTTTCTAAGATAAGATTTGATATTTTGGAAAGTTTTGGTGATAAAAACTTGTTTTCATATGCTAGTACCCTTCAATTCAACTGACTTGGCTCTGTAAACGGGGCTTCGTAACCTAATTGAGGCTACTCAGACAATTGCATCGGGAAGTTCGCGGCCTCAAAGCGTGCTACATGGCGCGCCGCGGCCCTTAAAATTTTAGCCGCGCACACCGCGGCCCATGTATATTTTATCGGGAACGCCGCGGCCAAACTTAAAATTGGAAAGAGCTTATCGGGAGAGTCCCGGCCCAATCACCTCACTCGGCGTGCCGCGGGCCTTATGAAAGGCCGCACTTCTTACACGCTGTAGCTTAGGCGCAATCCGCGTGAGGTACGGCACAGCGATGGGGCTACCATAAATGTTTGTGGGGCTGGTACTCGCTTCTTGGGTTGGGTTGTGTGACAGTTGAGTTTATATGCCCACGAAACAATCAGACGGTAGATGATGTCGACAGATGAGCTAACAAGTTGCTCAATTTTGTACTCAGTCGTTGTCATGAAAGACAGGCCAAAATTTTTTCACTCTTCCTAGGCCTTACAAGCATGCTAATCGGGACAACTATCGGGCGCTTACAGGATGCGCCGCGGTCACTTATAAGGTCCAATATCGGTTTATTACCGGGCAGCTCGCGGCATGGATGATTGGTGGCCGAGCAAGCACCCGCGAACTTCCCGATGCAAATGTCTGAGTAGATAATGATCAGAGAGCACGCGCGCAAGAAAGAGAATCTAACCTTATTTGGTCCAACTGGCTTGGCTCCAAGAAGGCCGCTCGTGCCCGCTCGTCGCGTGCGCGAGCGGCCTTCCAGGAGCCAAGCCAGTTGGACCAAATAAGGTTAGATTCAAATCGTTTCTTCCTCGAGTTTAGCGAATTCCTCACGATACGCAATTTTCCCCCTATTAGGCTACTTTTCAGTATTCAATGAAAATACAAATATACAGAACGGATGGTATCAGAACACAGTTATAGCTTGCCAAAATCATAAACCAGAGGAAAGTACGGATCTCAAATTCATGCTTTCGTACTCACTTCTCCTATAGACACTTTATAAGTAGAGTGACTTCTAGGAAACACATTTTTTCAGACGCCATTTACATCATGAAAAATAACAAAATTTTATTAAAGCAAAGAGAAATGTCATCGCGGCTTCTGTTATATTCCATTCGACACAGTTAAAAGCTGTAAAAGAGATACTCTTGGGAAAACTGCATCACAAACACTTCGGCGACAGAAGTTTTGTTTTCAAATGTTTAGACGACAATAATGGCGATGAAAGATCCGAAATTCTCACAGTTTCCTAAGTAAAGCTCCCATCAAACTCTTTGCCGCTTTCGTGAAGGTCTCTTTTAGGGGAACTTTGCGCCTTTCTCAAATACGGATTCTAACGAGGTGTGTTCATCAGGCAAAAGAAGAGCTCAAGGTTTTGTAAGCATCGCAAATTGAAGTAAAAAAAATTGATACGACTTTGAATAAATGGCATGTTTTTAGTGTGGAATAGAAACTCCAAATCATTTCCAAGGAAGCTCTTTTCTGCCGGTTAGAAAAGAATGGATGCGAAATCAAATCATGAAAAATGTTGTGGGTCACAAAAATACAGAAAATATCTTACGGGTTTGAACCGTATTCTAATTTTAGATTTTTGAGATTTTTTTCATATTGCATCATTTAGTTAGCAATGAGTTAACTCAATTATGACCGTAAAATTAACTCTTGCTTTGGTTTTGCGACTTTTTAAACTTTTCGGACCTGTGCTACACATGGTGCATCACCTAGCTTGCATGGCTTTTCCGAATTTTTATCGGAATTTTCGTATAAAACCGAGGCTGCCATATAAAAACCTGATTGCTCTAGCGTGCTCCAGTTTGTGCACCAGCGTGTTTCGTGCTACGCATAGTGTAGCCGTGAGAAAATGATATATCGATACATTTTGTAGAAGAAATATTTTTTCTGTTGCGAACGAAATTTTGGACTTCGCCAAGCTTCGTTAGCGAATTTATAATGCTTCGTAAGAGGTCTGAGCATTGACCAAGATTGATATAACGTTTATTATACAGTTTATTAGGCTAACGTTTCGATCAACTCGCCTTCACCAGAGCCCGTAATTGAGGAACGTGTGAGATCTATCCGCTCAAATGCCTTTCATCTTACATGAAAAAGACAAAAGTTGTATGAAACGATATCTAGGTCAAACAGCTCACTTTAAACGCGAGGCGTGAAATTAGGAAGAGGAATTTCGACTACTCGTAGCAAGGGCTCAGCACCGATGGCTTACGAAGCAGGCTGGACATCGTTCTGGGGATAAAAACTAAAGGGAAAATTGTTTTGCGGGTGCGAGGCTAAGCCTAAAACTGCACGCATCAGTTTAGTGTGGTGTATAGGAAAAGATCGCCAATTACTTCGTGCAAAGTCTTTCGGACTTGGTCGAAAAAATTCTCAAAAAATCTTCGATCATTCAAGGCCACCCAAATTGACTTTTGTATGGAACTATAAAAGCTTCAAGGGTTGACCAACTTCACCCCTATCAATTTAATAGATTTTCCAGCATTACAACTCATGTAAACTGAAGGTGTGGCAAACTTTTTTTGAAGTTAGGTGGCTTTTGAGCCACCTCACTCCAAACCTGGAGAGCCACCTAAGGTGGTTCAGACCATAACTTTCCCTTCTTTCATAAAATTTTTCATATTTTTCACATAATTTACTACATCCAAACCTCTATAACTGGATTTTTGATGAATAGAAGAGAAGAGAGAAGTATCTTCATCGTCTGCTCAGTTGTTGTTTTCTTATCTGTTCCATTCTTCCTTGTTTCTTATGCTTTTTATTCGTGAGGTGTCATAGGACATATCGCATTTTTGTCGCAAATTCAACGGGGACTTCGTATCTAAAAAATCGCCAAAGCTCGCTACGAAGAGGGCTCAGCTCGTGCCGCCGAGCCCTGTTCGTAACGAGTCCTGCAAGCCTGATATTCCCACTTACGCTATAATTTCGCTACTAAACCTATCCGATATGATCAGAATGCAGAATGATACCCTATCTTTTTCTACAGGGAAATTACCAAGAAGCCTACCGCTACAGTGTCTCATGCGCTGTTACATGGAGAGTATTAATTTGCCTGTGCTATCTAAATAGCCTTTCGAACCGCCGCACCTTTGAGATGGTCATCCATGCTGCTGCTTTTGCTGTTCGCAACATGCTTCTGGTAACGCTTTGCTTTGTGCATTCTGAATGCGCAGAAGAGTAATGTATGAGTATGTTCTTACTGCCTGGCTCCTGTACCAGCTAGTCTACACCCCCCCCCCCCCTTCACCATTGCTCGGACCTAACTGAACAAGAAATGAGAGCCAGCCATCTTTTGGCTTTTCTTTGGTGAACCTTGTGTCAGCTGATTGTTTGTTGAGTAGGTCGAAATAGACATCATTTCTGCCTATGTCGAATACACGATGAGGCAGTCGTCGATGCAACGAGAATAGAGAGTAGGTGTGCGGCATAAAACTGGATTTCTACTTTCGACATGAAGATGACAGCCAATACCGGTGCTAATCGTAGTCCCATGGCAAGCCCTCCAATCTGCCGGAATACTACCTGGACCAACGAAAAAATGTGCACTCGAGCCAACCTTTGACTTGCGTCATAATCTGCTGGATTGTGAGACCGTACAAGCTTATATTGGTGCGATTTTCGCTGAAACAAAGGACTCGTCATCTGCACCACCAACAGGGTTGGAGATTGTATTTTGGCGTGATATACCTGATCACATGCAAGTTATGCGGTGCTGAGTACATAGGAGAAACGGGAAGACCACTATGCCTACGGTTAAAAGAGCACCTGGAGGGTTGCGCAAATAAAGGCTCTCAACACTCCTAAGCACGCATGTGAGCTGCAACATCACAACAAAAAATTCGACGCCTCAGTTTTGTTTAGAGAACAAGAGGCTGCGGCGCGCAAAACATTAGAGGCTGGATTTCGAATAGAAATCCACAGATGAACAGAAAAGACGAATGCATTGCCACAACTAATAAGCTCGCGCCGTTCCGTGTCTTGCGGGTTTGATCTACTACCTCCGAGTCAAGGACCCTAACTCACTCATTGCATGTCACTCGGTGGTGGGGGTCTCGACCACAAGTTCAAGGTCTGTTCGACCTTTGCCTTTTTCCTGCAAGACGAGAAAGCGTATGAGCGAACAGATCTCATATGTTCCTCACTTACAGGCTCTGACGAAGGAGGATTGGCTTATACGTTAGCCTAATAAACGTTATATCAATCTTGTGAAGGCTCAGACACTTTACAAATTGTACTGTTAATATGCTAAGATTCACCGAGAGTGGTACATGGAATTTATAATCATTGGACTATACTACTTCTAATCTATCGCATCTCTATTGATGAGTCTAGAGTGTTGAGAAACTTGTGGTTGACAGTAGTCTGATTTCCCATCTCTCTGCGAATTTCGCACAAAACTGGCAGGACTAGTTGCTTCTCGTCGCAGTTACGGTTTGCGATGGAAGAAATTGCTTTGAGCAGTACTACAAACATCCCGTTTGCAGAATTTCTGAATTTCGTTTTTGAAGCAGTTGTTAAGTTCACCCTAACTGGAGAAGAAGATCTGAAAAGGTATAAAAACGCTATAATGGTTTTAATTTAATACTAGCTGGCAAACCCGGCTCCGCCCGGCCCTGTCATTATTATATTCGTAATCAGCATGCTCGATTACCCCCCTGTGCCAACTCCCAGCCCCGTAGCTCAAATTTTGCAAAAAATCGATAAAATCGATCTCGATCGATAACGAAAAGTAGCCTATGACACGCTCCCTGCCCCGAAGTATATGTGTGCCAAGTTTGGTCCAAATCGGTTCAGAAATAAAAATTTCTATTCCGCACATACGTACAGACATACAGACAGACAGACAGACATACAGACATTCAGCTTTATATATAAGATTATTCACCTCAAATATTCGATTGAGTAGCCTTAACAAGTAGTGAGAACTTTTACGATCAGAATAAAATCATTTGGAGTTGATAACGAAATGATTTATGGATTATATGCTAGTAGATTTACAGGTTCAATTAGTGCCACTGCGGTGAACATTTCCGCGTAAACAAATTGTTATGCCTGTACTGCCGATATTAAGTTATAAATTAACCATGGAACACACTTTCGACTTTTACGTTCCGTGGTCATCGGCTCACGCACAAATGCTGTGGGAACCGCAAGGCAATATAACCTTCCGATATACCAGACTATAGATAGATGTTTGGAAGCCGAATAGATAAGATCTCAGGAAATAACTACAAGTTTATGAGAAAGTACTGATCTCTTGTTGACAACAACACGGCTTACTTCGCTCAATTCTCGAAAGAAAGGAGAATTACAAGATTTTCTTCCCAAAAACGATCTAATAGAGTTAAAGACTGTCTTCAGCTAAATTTGGCCTCGAAAGAGAAAAGACAAGAATGTAAAGACACACGTAGCTGCGTCCGAAAGGGGCGTCGTTACTTGTTATGAATATAAATTCGCTACACGATCGATTCTTCATCAAATTTGATCGTTTGAATGGGCAATTTCCAGCATCCATCCCGTGTGAAGTCCGTGCTTCTGTATTGAACACTTTATCAACAACAAATCACTAAACTTATTTCTCGATGAATCCCAATCTTATAGAGAAACCAGTAAATTTCAATGTAGAGGATTATGGTAAATCAACATAGGTGAAAACATGCAGAATGCGTAGTTAAGTGAAGTCGCATGTACAAAAATGGGTAAGACACTCGAGATGATGAAACTGTCAAAAAAAAAAGAACGAAGACATAAGAAGGAAAGTTATAGCGAATGATTACTAGATAATGGCAAATTCAGATTATGTACAAAAGCCGCCGAAAAAATTAGGATAGAAGAACACATTCCGCCTACAGACTACTGCTCCTTTCGCGCATGCTACTGCATATCGTATGAGGAGCAGCTATCCAAGAAGGGAGGCTAGGCGGCGCAATCTGTTCTTCCACCCCAGAGGAATGAGTTAAACTTCTAGCCTAGAAAAACTCTCTTCAATAGGTCGGTTGAGGTGGATATGGTTGAGAATAGCCTTGCTGTGGATAGCCGCCACCCTGCTGGGGATATCCCTGGTTGGAGGGATAACCCTGGTTAGACGGGTAACTTTGTGGATAGCCTTGAGAAGCCGGATATTGTTGCATTGGATATTGTTGTGAATAGGGATCTGAAGAGGGTGTTTTGTGCGGGTGAAGAAGATGAATTAGAATGAGTTCTGCCTTACCTTGCTGTACTTCTTCTTGTTTATTACTTTGAGGTATAATGCCATCGAAGGCGGATCGGCAGCATTTGTACGCGAGGAAACAACAACAGCAACATGAGAGAAGCAGAAGAAGAAGAATTCTGAAATTTCATGCAAAATTTGACCAAAGTGGACAACACAAACAGCTGCATGCTACCAAAGGACAGTTGTGCATAGCAAGGGAAAGAGGGAGGGGAAGTTTGCCCATGTTAGGGTGAAAGTATCTCGCTCAGGGTAAGACATATGCGGACTAAAGCAAAGGAAGAAGCTCAAGACGAAAGCAAAAACTGGGCTGAGATTATAGTATTAGACGATAGACGCCTCTCTCAGACAAAAAACGTGGCTTAGATAACCATGCAGCGTTTTAGTACAAGGCGAAAACTGGTCCCGGAGGCGAGCAAGCGCGAGCTCGTCGTTCTGGGGACCAGTTCTCGTTTCGTGCCAAAATAAGAGCTCGTGTACTACAGAGCCCGCAGACTGCGCAAAAAAGGACCCATTGTAGTCACAGATATTCTTTCTTTTTTTCAGATTGACACAGTTTTGGTGAGATAAAAAACACGTGAGCATCACAACGTCTTGTGTAGCTTTTTCAATAGCTGATTTTTGCATAAGTGAGTGATTACGCTTGGACTTATAGTGCAAAACAAGGGAACCATTTGCAACAGAATGAAGCGCTACAACCAAGCAATGAGAAAGATAAGCCGCTGTGAAAAACAACCATCACTTACGGTCGTTCAGAACAGCAACAGAGCCATGAGTCTGAAGCAAGCTAGATTGAGTTAGAAGGTATGGAGTACTGAGGCTATTTGCTAGCATTCTCAAAAGTCATATGCATTTTTATCCTAAGTGTACAACATGTAAGTAAACCGTCACGTGACAGATGTAAATATGTACCGCTTAAGCTGACACATGGATAAATGACAAAACAAATGCAAACAAAATGTCAGATCGTGTAGGTTCTTTGCTTGTCTATGAGGATATATTGGGATATATATAATGTCATACGACCGCTTTAGGGAACTCCAATGCCGTCACCGATCGAACCAACAGGGGTACAACCGCTACAAGAAAAACTCATATGAGCAAGTCAAAAAATGCTACTATGACTGAAACAGGACCCCTACAGCAACTCCGGAAAGCAATAAACTATCGCTGTTCCTAGGATATGGAAACTGAATTCAGAAACAATGAAAAGACAGGGATTTCTGCAGTAACTGCGACTAAATTTTGAATATTGTAGCGAACAAAAAGCTTGCCCCATCTAAGAACCTTGAAAACGGAATTTACCCTTTGATTTAACGGGGCGTCTGGAAGGCGACCGCTCGCGTCCGCGACGCAGTCGGCGTCTCTCTCGCTAGCGTGCTCTCTCATAATTCTCTAGCCTTGATTAAGCCTCGGAGCCCCGCCTTTCAGCCGCCAACCCCGTTGAATCAAAGGGTGGAAATCTAGTGCTGGCCATAGCTATAGAGCCACCCTAAAATTACGTGATTTTACTGTAATTTGCCCTCTCTTGCTCAAAACTGTCTGAAAAACCACTATTCTGTGTGCAAACTAACATCATATCATTGGCCAAAACGGCTCCCAATTTCACTGATGTTGGCCGGAGAAAAATTGAAAACTTTGAAAAAACGGGCTCCGAAGGCTGGTCACAGCTATGAAGCCACCTCCCAGTTTCGATCAATATTACATTCTTTGAATCTAAAATATTTTGTACATGTAAAGCATCAAAAGATGAGGCATTTGTTATACTTGCTGTCGCTTTTTGAAAAGAAAATTCATACTGCATTTCTTGCTTCAAAATGCATAAGAAATCCTAGTTTTTGAAAAAACTTCTTCACCGAATTTCCAAGCACTTGTTTGACTCGGGTGAATGTCCTAGGATAGCCTCTGCAATGAATACGGTGAAAAGCGCTGGGGACACTGCGTAGTCGCTGATGTTGATAAACGAGCCTCACCTCGCCAAGGCGTGAGCGCGCTTCTGAGCCAAAACTCGATTTCTGAAGCGCGAAAACTTCTGATCGGAAGTTGACATTTCATTTGCATAGCGACTAACTCATGCAGAAGCTGTAATTTTTGCAAAGACGTATTTGCAGCATTGATGTTAGAACGCTTTGTCTGCAGTTCGGTTGAACGCAGTGAATCTCACATGGCTGAAATTTTACTCCTTTAAAATCCTCATCAATTCAAAACTTACAGAGCTATCAATACTGGAATTTCAAAGTTTTGAGTGATTTTCCGCCGATCGAGCGGTTAGAGCGGGTCATGATTATGCAGAGTGCACCACTCAATTTTGGAAAAAGGGCGTCTAAGGCGGAACTAGAATCCTCAGGTTGCGATGATGTTCAAGCTACGCGCACGAGTCTATCGTTGTACAGGCGACGTAGTGAGCACATGACAGAGCTTTTCGGGCATTAGCACTCAAATTCTGCGGTTCGAAAGCTCGTCCATGTGAAGTTAAGGTTGGTGCTCACTAATCAATATGAGCGACTACGCAATGTTGATTCAAGCGCTTTTCACCGTATTCATTGCAAAGGCTCAGAGGATCCCAGGGCTTTCATTCGAGTCAAATAAGTGCTAGAAAATTCGGTGAAAAGGCAGTTCCTTCAAAGCTATGATTTTTATGCATTTTGAAGCAGAAAATGCAGTATGAATCTTCTTACAATATGAATCTTCTTTTCAAATGCGACTGCTCCCAGGTATAACAAATGCCTCATCTTTTGATGCTTTACATGTATAAAAAATTTTAGATTCAGAGAATGTAATATTGATCGAAACTGGGAGGTGGCTTCATAGCTGTGACCAGCCTTCGAGGCCCGTTTTTTCAGAGTTTTCAATTTTTCTCCGGCCAAAATCAATGAAATTGGGAGCCGTTTTGGCCAATGATATGATGTTAGTTTGCACACAGAATAGTGCTTTTTCAGACAGTTTTGAGCAAGAGAGGGCAAATTACACTGATTTTTAGGGTGGCTCTATAGCTATGGCCAGCAATGTACAATGCGTTCGACGGGGCCAGCGCCGCGTAGTGCAGTCACACACTTGCGCGCCAGCGCTACCGTGGGCTGCAGCGTGCAGGGACCCTGCGGCGCAAAGCCGCGTGGTCCTTGATTTAGATACTCTTCCTTCTTCTTTCTCAACTTATTCGCTGTCCTGAAAATTTCTAAGCTTTTCCTGTCTAGAACTCTACTTCGGTGCTCTTTCTGAGATTTCTTAAAGTATCACCGCGCGAATGGAAATCAGAATGGAAGTCTGAGGTCCTTCAAAGAAAGTGTAATTCAATCTTTATCTGAGAATTCTGAGAACGACTTGTGCTCTTCCTCTTTACAGCTAAAGGTTATATCGTAAGGTGCAATCGTGTATCGTGTAGGTTGAGAGACAGTTTGAGTCAAACCTAAATGATATACGATTACCTCCGTTGGAACACAAGTCGATATAATGAATCATGACATCCGGAATCAGTCTTTAGAAGAAGGCCTGGATGAAGTGAAAGATGTCATGAAGAAAAACGCTCAAGAAAATGGTACCTCCTTTGCTGCGCAAAAAAAAACCATATTCGGTATCAAGACAGATCGCATATAAGCATAAAAGCAAGAAAAATGACAATCCGCTGCTGCAAAAGCGGAAAAATTACGAGATACAACGATAAAAACAAGGCCCGCGATGTTGTGCGCAGCATGGTCCCTGCACGCTGCGCCTACGGTAACGCACGCGCGTATATGTGTGACTGCACTACGGGCGCTGGCCCCGTCGAGCGCATTGTAGATAACTGGATATTGAATGAGATTAATCGATGAGGAAGCCTTTATCTTGTCATTCCGCGCACGAATGCTCCAATATAATTCGCAGCAAAAAAAACAGCCCTAAGAGTTGTTTCATACTGCAGTCGCTGCAGCAACTGCAATCACATTGGGGCGGGCAAAAGATATCGATCGATCGACGGTCGGTGCTGCAGCGACTGCAGTAGGAAACAACCCTAAACTCTTGCCTAGTACCGTAGTCTTCGCGAAAGGACCATTTAATGTCCTTAGATACGGTGCTAAGCGACAGTTCAGAACAGTCTCAGTGAATATGGATTTACGAGCTGCCGCTTGAACAATGGCTAAGTTCGAGCCTCGTAATCAGTACCCAAATGTGGGGACCTACAGCAGTACCAATCTCCCAATTCCGATTGGGCGCCGTTTGCCACTATGAACGAGCGTCCATAACCCAATCGGGTGCTCGTTTAAAACGATTAAACAACTCTGGAGAATAAAAACTACAGACCCGTATATCAAAATTCGCCTAGACATTGCTCTCAAGCACACTTTGTAATGCACAGTTCTCACTACAACTAATCGTAAGATTCATTACTCCCCCCCCCGCCCCGCTTCCCATTTATAAAGAAAGTTTGCCAAAGACTCGTAATCTGGATGGATAAATAAAAAACACAAGCATACGAACCCTGCACCACCCACATGACACCTGTCACGACAAAAAGCAACACGAACACAAAAGGACTTTAACACATTCACGACACGGCCATTCTATCGATTTCTGCCGTCTCGGACATACGACCCACTGGTATCAACTTTCTAGTGTCTTTTTCTCGATTGCCGATGGGTCGTATGGTCCGATAGGTGGTCTTGTAATTAGGCTTCCCCTATATGTCTCCAAACATGACCGCGAAACCCTAGCAACGCGGTCTCCCGCCATGCAAATTTTGGCCTGATTGGGATAGGGGCAGACTGTACTTCCATCGTAAATCCGCACTGCCTAGTAGTACGAACCCAGAGGTGAGGTCGTATGTCCGAAATAGCAGTACACGTACGACCCACCGGTGGGTCGTATTGTCGTGAATGTGTCAAGCAAAGGTGGAGAGGACACACTACTTACCCAATGGCGATTCCAGCAACATTGCTACCAGTGCTACCAGCATGGTTAGGATTTCCACCAGCCATATTGTTCTGCACTGGTGCCGGGCAACAATCGGTTCCACAGCACACTTCAACACCTCGCTTGCAAGTCCAAGTTATTGTTTTGGGACGTGTCCCATCGGCAAATTGGAGCTAGAAAACGTTTTGATGAGCAGGGATTTGAGATTCGCAGAAAATTTGGCGCTATTCGGCTATCCGGACCCCAAATTTTTTTGTCATGGATTTCGCTCAAACTTGGCCCAAGGGGGTTATATGACATGCTGATCACGAATATCACCTTTTCTCCGCAGACAAGACGCCCCCTGCAGGGTTACGGTAGGTATACGGTAGGGGGTCAAAATCATAGATTTGCCCGAAACTTGGCCCAGAGGGGTTATTCGGCCCGCTGATTCAAATATCACATTGGTTTTGAACCGTAGCGTCATTTTCTCGAATTACGGTAGCTACACGGTGACGGGTATATAGTTCTGCCTGAAATGGGTGTATTGGCGATTCGGACGACCGTGAAGCTTTGCACACACGACCACCGCCGCGCGCTACACACCCTACTGCGGTTTTTGCCTAAGCAAAGCACAGGGGAAAGATACAAATGCCGATTTGTGATTCTGACCCCTACCGTAAACCTACCGTAACTATGCAGGGAGGCGTTTTCGTGCGGAGAAAGTGTGACATCTCTAATCAGCATGCCGAATGACCCCTCTGTGCGAAGTTACGGCAGATTTTGAGATTTTGACTCTCTACCGTATACCCACCGTAACCCGAGAAAGTGACGCTACGGTACAAAACCAATGTGATATTCAGCATCAGCGGGCGAATAACCCCTCTGGGCCAACTTTGGGGCAAATCCGTGATCTTGACCCCCTACCGTATACCTACCGTAACCCTGCAAGGAGGCGTTTTCCGGCGGAGAAAAGGTGATATTCGTGATAAGCATGCCATATGATATAATATAACCCCCTTGGGCCAAGTTTGAGCGAAATCCATGACAAAAAAATTTTGGGGCCCGGATAGCCGGATAGCGCCAAAGTTTGTATTACAGTGTTTAAAATCTGATCCGGACTGGGTGTGGTAGACGCTGGAGCAACTGTCGAATCTCCAGCTGAGCCTGGAGCTGCAGTGGTGGTCGTGGTAGTAGGGTTAAGCTAAAAAACATCAAACTTTATCCCAACCCTGCAACCCTCAAAAGAGACCTGCTGTAGCTGACTTAAAGGCATCGAACACATAATCTCATTGCCTTTCACTTGGGCATTATTATCAAAGTAGTAATTACGCCCGTCATGGTTGAAAGGTCTGGTAGCCGATTGGATGATAGCCTTACCAGCTTCAAAGGCAACAATACCTGAATATAGACAGAAATTTAATATGAGCAAAAGCGCAGAAAGAAATTCGAACAAATTTGGGTAGCTAACCTCCAACAGCTCCCAAAGCACCACCAATAAGGGCCTTTTTGAATGTTCCACTGCTTGCAGCCGATCCGGGTCCCGTTCCGGGGCGGAAACTGAAACATGAAGAATAAGAAGAGTAGAAAGATTCTTAAAGGCAGTGTCCAGGCAAATCTAGGCATATGGGTTTTTTGCCTGGAAACTGTCGAAGAGGCCCCAACTAAGGCACTGCCCAAAGGGCAGTGCAAATTGTTCAATCACGGCTGAGAAATCCGTCCCCGAAAACCTCGCGTCTGCGCCGTGACCGTAACCCAAAAACGACTTCGCTCACTTTAACACTACGTTCGCGCTGGGACCAATCCTAAGTTTTACGGTTACGGCGCAGCAGCGGAGTGTTTGTGGATGGATTCCTCAGCCGTGAATGAATTATTCGCGCTGCGGTTTGGGCAGTGACTTATCTAGGGCCTCCTCGACAGTTTCCAGGCAAAAAACCCATATGCCCAGATTTGCCTGGACACTGCCTTTAAATGTTACTTAGTCAATTTGCATAAGAAAAAAAGCAAAAAATCTCAAGATCTAAAGTGATGGAGGGAGAGGGTACAGAATAAAAATTTTCCAAAAATGGATTTATCGCATAATGGGAGCTGCAGAAATAGAAGAGATTGATTAACTGTATTACTGCGTGGCGGAAAAATTTGGCATGGAAAGTGACAAATCTTCAAATATGGGAGTGGCCAAATAATAATACGCTTTCAAAAACTGATATGGTCTAAAGAGAATCATTCTCTTCATTAGTGCTGTTACGAAATACCCAAAAATCGTTCAAAAAATTAATACTCTAATTATTAGTGGTGTCACAACAACTTTCACCCACTCACATGATTCAAAAGTCACGAGTTCGACGAAAAAATAACTTGACCAAAATTCAAAACGATTCTTCACCCTCCGCTAAATCCACCCTGTGGGTGGAATCCGCCTTGATTGGGATGGAAGCCACCCTGTGGATGAACGCCTCCTCCAAAACCACCTTGAGCCGGTTGTGGACGAAAACCACTCGCACCTCCTGGCTGGAATCCACCACCTGGTTGCCCTAAAACATATTTACTTGAGAAATGGGTGCAGAAACCATGTAGAAAAAAATGAAAGTAAAAGTGAAAGCACAGCGCAAGAAAGTGAAAAAATGAAGAACGACCGAGCAGGAGAAGTTTCCCAGGATTTCCAAAGGTTAGGCTGCGTTTAGAGTTTGTGCCAGCGCCGCAGCATCGCCGTGCTGTATTCCAACCGCGACGACACGCCGGTGGAACAACGCTGGCATCGCCAACTCTGAACGTAACCCTAGGAGATACTGACAGCACATAACAAAAACAAACCAATTCTTCCACCACCACCAATTCGTGTTCCACTAATGCCTCCCCTTGAACTAGAAGAACCACGGCCGCCTGAAGCCAAAGCCTAGCTAGTGTTAGTGCAAAGACAAAACAAACAGTGAACGGGCCACATGTGCTGGTGTGAAGCTTGTGATTTATGCGAAGATAACACAGATCGGAACAAAATCAAAAAAGATCGGACGTACCTATAGCTCCTCTAGCTCCACTAGATCCCCTAGGTTGAAAAGAGCCACCACCGGCCGACGCTCGTCTTGGTAGCACCGGATTTGCTAATAGTATGACTAATAACAAAATGGAACCACGGTTCCACATCTAAAATTGAAATCAATGCTAATATAAAATTTCCAAAAAACGCGTAATTGAGCGTTTGGCAGAGTTTATGTATAATGCAGAGAACGAGCTAGAAGAACATGAAAATTACATAAATCTTTCTAAAAAAGGCTACAATTACAATTGTGACGTAGCGAAAAGAATGAGTATAGTCAGAGTTCTATTAAAACAGGGCTACAAATACGATTAAAGAATGTCGATTAGTCCGAGGTTTGAACCGCGATGAGGAGATACGTCGACAGTGCAAAGAAAGAATGGAAGAGATTGTCATTCGAACTTTTGTCCCTTTGCAAGGTGAAAGTCATTTGAATAGCAATCGCTGACTAAAGTCAGATATTCTAACTCAAAAAAATGGCATAAAAAAGAGACCCTATTTTTGTATCTCACAATAAGTAAGGATAATTACGCCTAATTCACAAACAGCTCTATGATGTAAACACTCATCCAATTTATTTTTTGAAGAAGTTAAAGAACTGCTTGTATTTGAAAAGTGACACTTAATGAATAATCAGGAGGATCGAAAAAATGAAATCCAAAAAAATGCTACACAGAAAAAATAAAAAAAAACTGCGACACGAGCTAAAAGAAGCTAATAGAATCAGTAAGCTGTGAAAAGAAAATATAAGAATCAAACTTCTCAACACGAAAGGCTAATGGATCTGCGGGATAAACAACAGCAACACAATAAATTTGGTGATGTTTAACATGCAAATAAATCCCTGAATAACAACATAGATTTTTGATGCTTGGAACTACTTGCACTAGCGAATCTTCAGTCACAGCGCTAAGAATCAAATGGATGTAAAGTACAAAGTAAATACATATATTACTAAGCATGAGAACCACTGAAAAAATGCATCACCCATCTTTTTTCAATAGACTAGGGAGCTATGAAATGAATAAGGGCCGCATGCACTAACATCCCCGCTGGGGAGGGGATCGCAGCTCAAAAGAAAGCTTCATATCCTGAAGCTCCAGATATCTGGATTTCGCGCTGTCTACCTAGCAGTAAGTATTCCCATCATCCTCTACTATGAACATATTGAACAGAAGCGAGAAGCTGTACAAGCCGCATTCTCTAGCTTTTTGTATAATTCCCTATGATCCCCCGGGGACGATCATCTGTCCTTTAAATTCATTTTTCTTCCTTCAAAGTTGATGAAAACATTCCAGAGTTGTACTGATCGTCTCACCCAATAGTGCTAATAATATTGCTGCTGAGAACAAATGAGTTTCTGAAATATCGAGATGTTCGATAAACCCCAACTTTCGACCTGTGGTTCATCGAAAATTGCATGAATCCAAAACATCATTTGTTCTTATCAGCAACATGCTTAGCACTGTTGAGTTAGATAAGCAATACAACTCTGGAATGTTTTCATTGGCTTTGAAGAAAGAAAAATGACTTCAAAGAATAGACGGTCGTCTCCAGGGGATCATGCACTAACCTCCCCACTGGGAGGGGATCGCAGCTCAAAAGAAAGCTTTATATTTCGAAACTCCAGATACCTGGATTTCACATTGTGTACCTATCGTAAGTATTCCTACTATCCTTCACTATGAACATGTTGAACAGGAACGAGAAGCTGTATGAACCGCATTTTCCAGCTTTTGTATGATCCTTGATGATCCCCGGCGCTTTTCTTTGAAGTCATTTTTATTTCTACGAAGTTAGCGAAAACCTTCCAAAGTTGTACTGAACATCTAACTCAACAGTGCTAAGCATGTTGCTGATGAGAATAAAAGAGTTTTTGAAAAGTCGAATTTTTCGGTAAACCTCAAACTTCGACCTGTGGATCATCGAAAATTTCATGACTTCAAAACATCATTTGTTCTTATCACGAACATGCTTAGCACTGTCGGGTTGGATAATCTGCACAACTTTGCAGGTTTTTCGTTAACTTCGGAGAAAGAAAAATGACTTTAAAGAAAAGCGTCGGGGATTATCAGGGATCATATAAAAGCTGGAAAATGCGGTTCGTACAGCTTCTCGCTCCTCTTCAACATGTTCATAGTGAAGGGTAGTAGGAATACTTACGGATAGGCACACAACGTAAAATCCAGGTATCTGAAGTTTCGAAATATAAAGCTTTCTTTTAAGCTGCGATCCCCTCCCGGCGGGGATGTTAATGCATGCGGCCCTAAGACATTATTAGAAAATCATCACTGACAATGAGGGAAATCAATCCCCCGCCTTTCTTCTTCATTCAAAGGCACCGTCTAATCAATGTGGGGGTTGACGAGATTATGATGGCATACTAGCATGGACCTCCACACTAGGCAAACTCCCAAGTTGCGCAGCAAAAGACTGCTTCCGAAGCGAGAAATCCGCTTCGAAAGGGACGTAATCCGGTGCTGGTCACTCCGCCCACCTGGTCACCCCGCCCACTTCGCAGGTTTGCCAGAGTAAGCGAATATTTTGTTCAGGTTGAGGTACCGCGCAGAATTGACGTCACTTGGATTGACGCCAGCGGCACCCTCCAGAGTACGCGAATATTTTGTTCAAGTTGGGATCCGCGCAGAACTGGCGTTACTAATCATTGTGGCACAACGCCAAGTTGGCGTTATGCCACAATGATTAATGATGCTAGTTGTGCGCAGGACCCCAACTTGAACAAAATATTCGCGTACTCTGGAGGGTGCCAGCATGGTGAGTAACATCAATTCTGCGCGGGACCCCAACCTGAACAAAATATTCGCTTACTCTGGCACCTAGCTTTGCAAATGATGCGCCCGGCGAATATCAGCGCTGCAGCCCCGTGACTTGCATTGCACCCTTCTCCAAAACGAGAGTTTTTGGAGGTTTCGCGTACTCTCGACTCTATATTCAAAAATCAGGGCCTTCAGAAGGCCTGGAAGCGATAAAAACATGTAAGTCAAGAATTTGGGTAGACGGTGCCTTCAAAGGCACCGTCCACCCAGATTCTCGACTTCCATGTTTTGATCTTTCCGGGGCCTTCTCATGTCCCTGATTCCGAATATGAAGTCGAGAATTCGCGAAAACCTCACAATCCCCGTTCCGGAGAACCCGAAGGCCGGGCCGGAACGGTGATTGGCTGGACGCGCACCGATGAGCGGGCATGGATGGGGAGGGCGATGCCTGGGGACCCTCGTGCATCTTCGTTATTCTGAAGCGATTTTCTCGCTTCCGAAGCGACATTTTACGCCGCGATTTGGACATTGGCTTGATAGGGGGCCCTACTATCATATGTTGCCAAAAGCTCAAGACTTTCAACTTAGGGTGGTCGGTGCCTTTAAGTGAGGAGCTTACAGATGGATGTTCAGGACAAGTAAGACAACTCAGTAAATTTGGAGCGAATGGTGAAATATTGTAATAATTTTATCATCATAGCATGGAAACAGAACTTACAAAGGGTGATGTTCAAAATGCATTCATAAGAAACATTTTATGTTAGTAGAAAATCTTGAATGACTACTGGTTTATAGTGGAGCTAAATGACAGTTACAGAGCCTCTGGTTATTTAGTTAACCGAAAGGGCATGGCCGAAGGCGGAGTCAAACAGCAGATTCGTGAACAGCAGAACTGATAAAAGCTCTTAAGCCTCGGGCAGAGTTCACGCGATTTCATCGTCGCGATTCATCGCGGCAAGACAACTGTAACAATATTATTGCATGCCGATCTTCTTGCATTTCGGTTGTGAAAGTTTTCCAACACGAATCGTGACTAATTATCACAACCGAGATACAAGAAGATCGGCATGCAGTGAACTCTTAACACTTGTCTTGTCGCGAATCGCGACGATAAAATCGCGTGAACTCTGCCCGAGGCCTTAAATGGGTGTAGGCCGATTTCGCACGACAGCTGTGGCCGTCAGAGAATTTCCATATGAGAACGCCCTTGCGCGCGATACCGTGCGGCGGTTTTTCCAAGTATTTGAAGGATACTGTGATGCAAAAAGGACATCTTCCCCTTTCGACGAGTCCAGAGTGACCAAGACTGCGAGATTGGCTTAGTAGGGACTATGGCTGACTGATTAGCGCAATGAGTTAAGATAAGATTAAGCGATTCAAATTGGACTCGAATGACCCATTGGAAGTCCCAGATCAAATTTGCCAACAGTTAGATGGCAGCTATGTTACGCAGCAACCATTGTCAGAGAAGCCCTCAAACGGGAACGTAATGACTTCCGCGTTCCACATGGCTAGGGCTTGCACAGGTGGATAACTCACGTCACTTATGCGTAATCAGAATGATAAAAAACCATACCTTGCAGAAGAAAAAAGAATTTTGCTACAGAAGTTGATGGTTGAGGTTTTGTAAGGATAATTTCGGAACGAATAACAGTGTTGTGAATCCTATACAATGTTGAAATAAAGGCGATTATGAGAGAACCAGCCGTTTATGGGGTACTAAAACATGTCGATAGAGCATACCGCCAAGTGTGGATAAGAAAAGTGATTAAACAACCAGTTTTCAGATCCTGATCAGATTCAGCAGAAAAAGGAAGTAAAAAGGGCATAAACAGCGCATAAAATGATAAAACTGTTCATGTCAAAGGGATGGAAACCGGAAAAATTATTTAAAAAGTTCTCTCTACTGAACAAAAAATAAACTGAGTAGAGCTGCGAAAAAATTTACATCTTACTCAATATATGCAAAATTCGCTTCCTTACGAGTAGGAGTTCAACAAAACAAAAGTCGCTTTTCTAGTGAAACTAAAAAAATTACTGTGAACTATGATAATTTGAAGCTTCTCTTTGATCTTCACCTTTCCTATGAAACCAAAAAAAAAATAAAAAAGCAATAAACGCCAATGTGAGACAAAGTTATGAAATTTTTGAATGAGTAGAGAGCATGTACGTCAATACTGATGTACTCAACAGTCACGTATTGTTGACATAACTAATAATGTCGAATATGAAATTTTAGTTGCCTTTGTAAACGATAATTTTAGATAACTGTAACATACCCGAAATGACCCTTCTTTTACTTTTCCTTCTCAGTAGTGGACCAGTAATTAAAGTGATAGATTGCATCGCGCGCTTCGGACGATTCTTTATGTAGTAGATTCTGAGAAAAGTCACTTCCATCAAAAGCAATTCATCCGCTTGAGATTGGTAACAAATAGC